TTATGCCTTAATCCCATCACTTTGGAGCTGAAGGGGAGAACTCTTTATTATGTAAAGTGGACTAGCTCAGGCTTTAATGGCTCATTGACAAAGGGGGATGGGCAGGAAGCTGCAGACAGCCATGTTTCTTCCTTTTTCACATCCAGAGAAATATTCTGCCTTTTCAATATTTCCTAGGATATTTCATTTTTCTGGGAGAGGGCAGGGTGATAACTTTCTACACTGTTGTTGTCAGAAGAACCAAGGGCTGAACAGCAAAGGGGTATCTCCACGCAAGGCTGAGCTCCATGCAAGTGATGGCCTGCTTGAGAGGCAACCTCTCCCCTTATTTTTTCTTGTTAACAAACAAGAAAAGAGTTGATTGTAGACCATAATGCATTTGGGAAGTCCTTGACTTACAACCATTCGTTTAGGGACTGTTTGAAGTTACAGCAGCACTGAAAAAGTGACTTATGGGTGGTCCTCACACTTGCAGCGTCCTCACAGTTATGCGATCAAAAGTTGGGCACTTGGCAACTGGCATGTATTTGTGACGGTTGCATTGTCCCAGGGTCACGTGATCACCGTTTGCAAACTTTTCCTTTGGCTTCCAACAAGCAGAGCCAATAAGGGAAGCCAGATCAGCGTAATGATTACAAGATTTATTTAACAGCTGCAGTGATGCCAAAAATTTTGGGTTCAATTGTGGTCGTAAATCGAGGATTACCTGTATTACATCTAATAATATTGCTGGAGCCAGCATTCCTTTTAATCTGATATTGCACTGGTGCCAAAAGTGGGGGGGGGGAGCGCAGGGGAGTGGTGCGCGGGCGTGCCCACACCCATAATGCTATGCACACTACCCTAGCACGCATGCCCCCCCACATGCCTGCACGAGCAACCAGCTCCCCCCCTTTCTTTTGATGTGCTTTTCTCACCCTCCCCAGGCTCCAGAGGCATTCTAGGAGTCTGGGGAGGGTGAAAACAGCCTCCCCCACCTCCCCCGGAGCCTTCCGGAGGCTTCAGGAACTTTCCTGAAGCCTCCAGAGGGCGAAAAGCAACCCGGAAGTCCATTCCTGAATTTCCGGTTTGCCCATAGGGCTGGTTTTTTGCGCTCCGGAGGCTTCCTTGAGGGCGAAAAACGGCCTTAAACAAAGGCCAAAGTCAGCTGGCCAGCGCCCATGCGCATGCACACTGGAGCTGACAGGACAACGCCTTGCGTGCCCTAACAAATGTCTCCGTGTGCCACCTGTGGTACGTGTGCCATAGGTTCGCCATCACAGTGATATTGTATCTTACATTTGAACCTTTGACCATGAACTACCTTTCTTTTTCTTTTGTGCTAGAACATGACTATGCTTTTAGCCTGCCCTTTCTAGTATCCATTCTTGAAATGTCATGCTGGCCTGAATAATATTTTAACTCCGGCAACTGTCTGCAGCTGATTCATGATCTCTCAAGTTTGGCAACGGTCCTTATGCTTTTTCATTCCTTAAATCTCCGTGGGACAGAACAACTCCAATTGATGGCTTGGCCTGTATTATATTGATAGATTATCTTGCTTGTGGAAGCTGCTTAGACTGTGCTTGGTACCAACCATGTGACTTTTGGTCGAATAAGATTGGATTATCTTTTTTGGTATTTGGTTAGGAGATTCCTTCATGCAAAAAAGAGATTTGCCCGTTTGGGGGGGATTGAAGTTGACCCAATGCAGTCTGTCAGCACAAATATTTCCCAAAGTCTTGTAAGATAACTTTAAAGTCATTTATTTTAGATAAGTTAACTTTTATGGTCATTTTTTTTTTATTGTGAGCACATTGGCCACCCACATTTAAAATGAAATTCTTTTGCCTGCTCTGAAGGGAAAGTATATAACACACACACTGTATATTTCGGAGTATAAGATGCACCTTTCCCCCCACTAAAAGAGCGTGGAAATGTTGGTGCATCTTATACACCGAGTATAGCCATTTTCCCCGTCCCCGCATCCCATTTTGGCAAAAAATGGACCGTTTTTAGCCTCTTTTTTTTTGCCCGTTTTTTGCAAAAACTGGGGCATTTTTGCCTTCCCCCAGCCCTGCTGAAGCCTGCAGAGTGCTGCTGGGGGCCACGGAGGACCAAAACTTTTTTTGTTACTTACCTCTTTGAAATCTTGGTTTGTCTTGTACACCCGTGCGCCTTATAGTACCAAAAAATACAGTACGCGCAGCTATATACATACGTAAATATAGCAATAGCAATAGCAATAGCAAT